AGACGGGTAACAAATTGGTATTCCCAGACTTTACAATGGGAAGGCAAACGTTTGCTGACCCCAAGAGAGAGGTTACTCACGAACCTTGCTTAGACTCTCAAGAGCCTTGACATTTTAATAATTTAGCATAATGAAAACAGGACAAGTGCATTAGGAGTCAGTTAAAGGAGAAAGTTCTTCCACATAACTGGAGACCTCTATCCAGAACTGAGTTCTAAGGGGAATGGTCTGTGGCAGACTTAGTTGGACAGGACCCGGCTGAGGGCAGCAAGCTATACTGGCAGTCTATAGGTTACTAAATGCATACAATAAACCCTCTTCCAGTAGATTTAAAAGAAGCACACCTATTAGAGATGTCACGTTCTGTTTGGCAACATGAAGAAGCTGCTTCAGGATGAGATAAGCTGTGAAACTGAAGTGCAGTAGTCATCTGGGGTTAACTCCTTCGATGAATGTTTTCATTCTGTACCAGAACAGCCCCTTGTGGTTTAGCTTATCCACTTCTAAAGAAAACTGAAATGATCGTAGCATCCCAGGCTGGTTTGGATTGGAAAGGACCTTAAGCTCATCCAGTTCCAAGCCCCTCCCCACGGGCAGGGACACCTTCCACTAGGGCAGCTTGCTCCAAGACCCTCTGTCCAGCCTGGCCTTGAACGCTGCCAGGGATGGGGCAGCCACAGCTTCTCTGAGCACCCTGTGCCAGCGCCTCAGCACCCTCGCAGGGAAGAACTTCTGCCTTAGATCTAACCTGAATTTCTCCTGTTTCAGTTTGAAGCCATCACCCCTTGTCCTATCGCTGCAGTCCCTGATGAAGAGTCCCTCTCCAGCATCCTTGTAGCCCCCTTCAGACACTGGAAGCTGCTCTGAGGTCTCCACGCAGCTTCTCTTCTCCAGGCTGAACAGCCCCAATGTTCTCAGCCTGTCTCCATACGGGAGGTGCTGCAGCCCCTGAGCATCCTCGTGGCCTCCTCTGGACTTGCTCCAACAGCTCTGTGTCCTTCTTATGCTGAGGGCACCAGCACTGCACCCAGTGCTGCAAGTGGGGTCTCACCAGAGCAGAGCAGAGGGGCAGGATCACCTCCTTTGACCTGCTGCTCACGCTGCTTTTGATGCAGCCCAGCACACAGTTCCCTCCAGCAGACCAAACGAGCAACAGGAAGGGAACTGATCATTTGCAAAAGCTATGCCAGCTATTTCCAGAATACTTTTGGTGCTACTTGTACAGTGGCAAAAAACAAAACCAACCCCAAATCCTACTCTATTCTTATGGGTTTCTTTCCATAGGAGCTACCTGGCAAAAAACCATAATGAGTACCAGAAAAGGAGCATGCAGGCATGATTGTTGCTATGGTTTCTTTCTTGAGAATGACCCACTTCAAGTCAGCTTGTAGCTGCTCTTGAGTTAAACATTACCCAAGTGAGTAAGCACCGTGCCACGTATCCTCTGAGGCTGTTTCTGCTTCCAGTGAAAGCAACGTAAAACCCACATTCCTGCAAATAATTAATCCAGATTCTTGCACTCCCTTATGGATGCCTGCCCCCACACACCACATGCTGTGTGTGCATGCAGTGCTTCTCCAGTGACCACTTGACAGGAACACAGGGTTTATGAACAGAAAACTCCTACCTTCCTACCAAGAGAATAACAGCAGCCTTTGTAACAGTAAATAAACCCACCACTTCTCCCGCTTATCAGATGTGCTTCCTTCCTGTGACAGGAATTGTATCGCTGCACTGATGGGAAGAAGAGAAAAGGGAGTTTTTTGAATGGTTCTTATTTCTATCACTTTCATCGAGGCAGAAATTCTAGACTGATTCACAGATGGAAACCCCAAATGCCATGCAGCAAAGCGTTCATCTACGGACAGGAAACAGCACGGGGTTCAGAGGCTAGAGGAAAGGTTTTGTCACTTTGAAGTACATCTTAAAAGGTGCACAGACACCTTCCTTAGTGTTCAACTGACAAAACTAGCCACACACACAAGCCTTTAACCATATAAAGGGTGTACTGGTGAAGCTCAACTTCTGTATGCTCCCACAGGCGAGCCTTGCTCCTCTAACACTGATAACATTGGGCAATGTTGTCACCAAGCTACACAGGAACAGAAGGAAATGGGAAAAGGAGGACAAAAAGTGGCATTTGAACTAGATGGTGAGAGAATGCAAAGGCTACTGCAAATACCGAATGTAGGTGGGGTCAGCAGGCATTGCAGATGGGGTCAGCAGGCATTGCAGATGGGGTCAGCAGGCATTGCAGATGGGGTCAGCAGGCATTGCAGATGGGACCAGCAGGCATTGCAGATGGGGTCAGCAGGTATTGCAGATGGGACCAGCAGGCATTGCAGATGGGGTCAGCAGGTATTGCAGATGGGACCAGCAGGCATTGCAGATGGAGCAGCAGACAACTGTAAAAGGTGCCGGGGAAAAGAACACGAACTGTCGGTGAGGCTGGTTTAAATGTGTCTTTTGAGGGGTGCATTTTTAGCGAGATTCTGGATATAGATAAGATAAATGTTCATTTTCATGTTTATATGTTTATCTTTATTCGTGCTCATGAATGTAAAACATCAGTAGGAAGGAGCAAGACTTTCTAATTGGCTCCCTTGAGATGTAATAGTTGATCTGTCTTAGACTCACAGTAGCAGTTTTGGGACGCCTGACTTTGCCTTGCTGTTCATTTCTATTATACCTTTGGAGGCTAAAGTTATCTTCTCAAAATACAATCCATTTAAACCTGATGCAACAACAACTGAAAGCAGGGAATAGACAAGTAGCTGGATTGGACCCCATCTGCTCCTGCAGTGGGTGCTTTTATGTGTGGGTAAGTTTGCACTGAGCATTTTGCTTCTTCATTAGAGTCACAGGCAATACGAAAGGGAAATCCACACAAAGCAAACCTAGACAAACTGTAACCTTCATTGTCAACCTAACAGGCAAAACCCAGCTTTCTTGGCAACCCTCATCTATGTTACACATCCACAAATAAGACTGCAATTCACAGTGCTCCTTGCACCACCATCTCAACATAGAGAAGCTCTTCCTGGTACACCTGTGTCTCAATGTAATACATTCACAGGGAACAAGCTGAGCTAACTGGAAGCTTTCTGAAGCTAGAAATACACCAAGCAGTGTTTTAGGCATACATAGGTATGAAACACTTCTTGTGATGGCGTAATACCCTGCTGCAAAAATAGAGCTTTGGATCTGAAAAAGAGCTTCCTGTTGCTTCCTTAGCAAATGGACCTTTTCCTTTCTGTTCTCCTTTCTGGTTCCCTATTTCTGTACCAATTATCCCAGGCTCCAGAGCATACTTTCAGTTTTGAAACTTGTCTCAGAACATTAGTCACACCGTGTTCTGTTTGAAAGAGGCAGCACAGTTAATCTATTAAACAGAAGAATGATGCATAAGGCCCTTTGGAAATAGTGCTGGGAAAAGAAGTGATGCAATGGATGAAGGAGGAAGCAGCAGCTCAGGCCCCGGGGAGTTCAGAGCCCACTGTCACTAAGGGACATGATGCACAGGCTGGAGCTGTATAAAGGAACTGGAGGCAGTGAAGGCCCCTGCGGGGCTCTCAGCCCTTCCAAGCAGCGTAACCTTGGGCTAGGTTGCCATTGCCAGCCCACAGGCTTGCTGTGGGTTCAGCCATTTTCCCCTGTACGCTCTGCATAAACATTGTGCAGTTAATAAACCGAGAAACTCTAATGCAGAAGCAGGGGACTAAAGCTTGCATTGCAGAACAAGCAGAGTGCTCACTGATGGAGTGTACTGTAGAACTTGGGTTACCAAATGAGAAGCTGGAACCAGTTTCTGGATAGACGTTTAGAAGAATAAATGTGTGAGGGGGAGGATTTTACGCAGCAAACTAGATCTCTGCTTCTAGAAGCAAGTATCTTTAGAAGGATTCTGCTGGGATGGGATGTCTTGGACAAGGTGGTTAATCTTTCCTCCCATTTTCAAGGGGCTGCAGGGCTCCATAGGACAGACCGTGCTTTTGCACCAGCCCCAACCTCCACTAGCTGTTTTCCACTCCCAGCCTCAGCTCAGTTGCACGTACCCAGTTAAGAGATGTGAGACATCCTCACTCCATCCTAAGCTATAGCAAATTCCTCCCAGAGTGAATGTTGTTCATTTCCCCTATACCCCTCCTTCTGCATGACACCTCTACTGTACCCAAATTACACAGCAGCATCCAGGGCCCAGAGGTGAGCGCATGACGGTGCTGAAGATCCTTTCTTACGGGTGACACGCACATGGGTATCAAGGATGTTATCCCCTTTAGAAGGCAAAGTTGACCACGGGGTTTCCCCAGTTCCATTCTACTTGAGAAGCTAAAGAAGAAACAAAGATCTTTCAGCAATTGCAGATCATATTCATTCTGCTGATAAATGCTACGATCCTGGTGAAGGGAGAAATGACTCCCATGGGTTGAACTGAAAAGGATCCAAATGCTGAGGTGAGAGCTTCCTATTATATAAAGGTGCTCTTTGACTGGGAACTACTGTGAGAGAACCACTCTTTGCTGGAACCCTGGCTATAGCCTTCCCACTTCTAGAGCCTGGCACTACTAAGAATCTTCAGGGAAAGCAAACACATTGCTCTGTATATTTCTCACCAATGCTGTATAATTCTAATACAGAAAATGTTTTTCTTGCAAGAAGGTATCAAACATCTTCAGTGTGGACACAGAACAAAATACTTTGCTAATTCCATTTGTTCTATCCATAGACATCACTTTCCAGAAGCAATGTGCAGGATGAAAGGTTTTGGGGATATAAAACACTCCAAGAACTAACATTGGCAGGATGGATGGGTGGGGGTACCAAAGAAGTAAAGATTGGGAAAACTCATTTGCTACAACACTTCCAAAGAGGAGCCAATGAAGAAGCAAATAATCAAACAGCTGACAGGAAGATCAGTATTAGACTTTGGATTTGAACAGTACAGAAAAAGTAGAGATGTCATAAGGCCACCAAGTAGCGAAGAAGGTGGAGAACATCACAAAGATAGGACATCGCTTTTATTAACCAAAACCGTTCAGAGGAAAGAAAAAACAGCAGCCAGAACATGATACACATGGGTGACAAGTGATAAAGGGTTACTGGCAGTGAACATGTGGGAGAAAGGCATGCCAGCCCAGGGGGAGCACTTTTCCCTGTCTCCATTCCACTGTGCAATGGTGGACTTTACCACTCTGACACGTCTGGATGCAAAACCATGGCTCAAAGATCCTACCAAATAAGACGTCACAGTTCAAATTGTCTTTTATCCACACTGGTGTTTTCCTGAGATTCAGAAGGCTATAACATTTCAACATGGAAAAGAGATGTTTGGTAGAGCCCAGCCCCCAGCCCCTTCGATGGAAGACCTGTGCCATAAGTAGGCAGTTCTTCAAATCTCCCATTAGTGGCACTTTCACACATCCCATTTAAAGGCTTTCATCTCGGCAGGCAGCTGGTGAGTGCATCGGGCCTTGGTATGGTCACAAAGTTCATGGTGCAGTGCAATAGTGGACAGATCTTCTCATGGTCCTTCAACACTTCACTCAAGTGTTTCATTTCATCTGTTAGCTTGCCGATTTCTCTTTTCAGAGAGGTATTTTCTTGCTCAAGAGACTCATATTCCTGAAAGGAGAGAAAAACAGAAAGCCTGCTCAGAGTCAAAACATCCCTTCCAGTGCTTCCCACCTCGAGTATATTCATGTAACTGTAGAAAAACTGTTGTGGTTTCTTGCTACAACACACAAAATGCCAAGGAAAGACAGACACAGCGTGGGTGCTGGAACACTGAAAGTGCTTTACAACCCATGCCCTGGCCATGCTGTGCTCCCTGAAGACCAGGAGATGCTGCTGGCCCTTGGGGGTCCCCGTCAGGCACCAGTGGCTGTGTCCCCATGGTGGCTGGTGCCAGCCCTGGGCTGTGCCTGCTGGGAAGGGCACCAATGCCTGCAGGGCACTGATGCACAGTCAGAGCAAAGGGAATGAAAGCACTGATTGCAGGTAGGTGCTGGGAAAACCTGGCTCCTGGCATTGCTGGTGAGGAAAGGGGACAGCGTGGGGAAAGGCCTTTTACCCAGGGCACACCTACCACAGCCTGCCCAGTGCCACCTGCTCAGATGCTGGGAATCAGGAGCAGGAGGAGGAGGGTGCCATGCCAGCTTGCTCCAGCCCCACTTTGTCACCGGAAGGCCTGAGCACTGCCTTGGATACCCCTGACCTAAAAAGCAGAGCTAAGGGCTTCTCTAGCAGGGAATAAGCAGCTCTGAACTGCAGGAGTGTTGAGCTCTGCAGCCCCCATCTGCGATGGATGCAACACACGCGTGCCACAGCTTTCGGGAGCTGCATGTCTCAAGTGTCCCTGGTGCCAAGCCTTTGCGTCCCAAACAGGAGAGAGCTACATGAGAGCCAGCCCAGGGCTCAGCACTCACCCACTCAACCTCACCTCCCTTCCAAGGCCTGTTTATCAGGCAGCAGGGACATGCAGTGCTCCTCAGGGCTGCCTGGCACTGCCTCTGCTGCCCTTTGCTGCCAGAGTCTGGATCCCCTTCGTGCCCTTCCACCACCTTCCACCTCCCACCCACTGAGTACAACAGGCAGAGTACAACAAACACATTACGGTAACCGAACTCCAGCCCATTGTCCATCCCTGACTCTGCTCTCCTCTTCTTGCTGCATGGGGTTGCGTTTTGGAGTAAGTGTTACTCTCCCATTGCTCTACCCCACTGCAGAGACTATCAGATGGTTCTTGCTAAGAACGAATGCCCATCCAACCAGATCTGCCTGCACCTGGGGACACCAGCGTGCCCAAGAATGAAGCGGCACAAAGAAGATCCTCAAGTTCAGGAGGAACATCAGAGCGGCTGCAGGATGGGCGCGGGGCTCAGACAGGATTCCACAAAAGCCGGGGTTGCCCCTTTCCAGAAGTACCAGCACCTGGCTTTCTCAGGCGGTGACTCAGAGGAGATCAGGGAAAAACCAAACCCAAAACTCCCCGCGCTGCCCCTCTTGGCCTCCGCTGAGTGCTGGCAGATCCTTCCCGCTGAGAAAAGCCTGTGCTGAACCTCCGGGGCTGAACAACGGCCTCTGCCACAGCCACAGCAGCACTAGTGCTTACCCCAAGAGCCCTGCCTACAACGAAAGCACTGTTGTGTGGGGTAACATCCCAAAGCAGACAAAGGGGATTCCTGCCCTCCGGCGTTTGCACTGGGGAGGTGAGAAAACCACAGCACATTGTAGATAGTGGGAAACATTAAGAGTTTCTGGAAGAAACAGTTACTTTCATGATGGGTGTTTCCAAAAAACCACCCACTATTATTTATCAGAGTACACAAGCACCACTGTAACTGAACCGAGCTCTCACTCTTGGAGGCTTTCAAGTTCCTAAGAAGCCTGGGTATTCCTGGCTCACACTGTTGTTTTAGTACTGGCTTGAGCCAGCACCGCCAGTAAGCAGCACGGTCCCCTCCTCCTCCATCACCTTCTCCCTTCTGAGGCAGCAAGCGTTCACCTTGCTGCAGTGAATGTGACAAGCTCAACGCTAATCCAGAGCAAAAGGGGTTCGGTGCATCCCAGAGGAGCCCTGTGCTCCTGCTCACTGTGTGGGCACCGAGCAACACAAGAAGCTGAGGCCAGGGCAGGACCACATCCCCTGGCAGTGTCACGGGTGGCAGAGCCGTGCTGTCCCGCACCACCAGGCACCCGCAGCATGAGCGTGCCTGCCTCACGCCACAGCTCGGAGCCGGGGGAGCGTGAAGACAGGCCCACGCCTCCTGACGAAGTCCCTCTCATGGTGAAGTCCCGTGCTCGGTACCAAGCCGTGCCTGCTGAGCATCAAGCACCCATTCACCTCATGAAGTTTATCTGCTTTCTGAGTTTGCTTCTTCCGGCTCCTCTGTGCAGCCACTCGGTTTTTTTCTCTCCTCCTTACCTTCCTGTCATCTTCTTCATGACTCTGCAAGACACAAGCCAAAGCCCCCACGCTAGTTCTTAAGGTGCACTTGGAGACGCCTGAAGTCAGGCGTGCAACTGATTCTGAGAAGGTGCACGTACTCCCAGCATCACCACAGCACCTTACCCCTGGCCACCCAACAGCCCTCCCGGTGCCTGCGAAGGGCAGCGCACCGCCTGTTTCCCCCGGCTGCCTGTGGGGAAGGGAAGGGAAGGGAAGGGAGGGGAAGGGAAGGGAAGCGCTGCCCGGCGTGTCTCAGCCCCACGCTCCCGCCCGTCCCCAGCGCCGCGCCCCGTCCCTGCCCGTACCTGCTGGCTGCCCCCCGCCGCCGGGACGGCGCACGACATCGCGCCGCCTGCGGAGCGCCCCGGACGCTGCTGCGCTCCAGCGGGCAGCGGAGGGGATGCGATGGGAGCGCAGCGCGGGGCAGGACGCGCCGCCCCGAGCCGCCCGGCACCTGGCACCCCCGGCCCGGGGCGGAGCTGCAGCCCCGCACCGCCCGCATGGCCGTCACATGGCGAAGCGGGAGCGCCCGGCCCCCGGGACCTGCCAGCGCCGGGAGCCGGGGGGAAACCCGCACCCCCGGGGCACGGCGCTGCCGGGCAGGAGCTGCCTGAAAATCCCCCGGGCTGCCCCGGCGGCCCGAGCCGCGATCTCTCCTCGCAGCAACCGCCCGCGGCTTCCCGGCTTCCCTTCTCCAGCCCTGTCCCCCCTCCCCACCGCTCACCTCCCGCCGGCCCGGCCCGCCGCGCTCCGCCATCGGCCCCCGAAGCGGTGCGAGCTCCGTGCAGTGACAGCCAGGGCTCGCACGGCACCGGCGCTGGGATCGAGCGATTTTCACTTTCGCTGCTCGCCCGGTTCCTTTAAATCATCAGGAAACTCCACAGAGCTTCTTGTAAGGGCGAAGCCGGGCGAGGGCTGCGGAAAACGCCGCTGCTGCCCACCAAAATCTCTCTGTGCGACCACAACGTTTCCTTCATCGCTCCAAACCCTTCCCTTCTGTTCTAATCGAACCGCTGTCCTGGCCCCCTGCTCCCAAGGAACGGGAGGTGCTCACAGCAGCAGGTACTTCAACAACATCCCTGCTCTACCATTTGTATCTGGTAACCACTGCACACTCTGAGCCGTGCTCAGCTTTCATAGAACCACAGAATCAACCAGGCTGGAAGAGACCTTTAAGATCATCACGTCCAACTTTTACGTCAGAACTGCCAAACCCACCACTAAACCCTGTCACAGCTCCTAGGGGCAGACACAGAAGAAGGCAAAGTGCCCCCAGAGTGGAGGGCACTCAGTCACAAAGCCCCAGGTATCTTCTTATATTGGTCACGTCTCTCTTCTGGTTTTCCCAGGAGTTTGAGTCCTGCAGCTTCAATGAATGTGAGCTTACAAAGTTTGCAAACTGAGCAAATACCAGCATCTGTTATAAACCTTCTTTTAGGAAGATCCAGCTAACACTTCATGCTGAACGTGGGAGAAACGCGCTGCCAGGGACTCCAGGAGTCTGCCATAGCTTTCCCGTCGGGCTCCAGCGGCATCAGTCAGCACCACTGAGAAACCTGAGCAGGACTTTCCCAGAGGCAAGCGCTTCTCCCTGCTGTTCCACCCCAAAGTAGCTTGTGTCTCCATCCTCCTGCTACCCAGCACTCCCCTGAGCACTGACCTGTGAGCCTTCCTCAGCCTAACAACCATGGAGACCCACTTCCCTACGGGGCACTGGCCTCACCTGTGTCCCCAGGCTGTGCCGGCTCCCCCAGGCATCTGACAGGGCATTCCCAATCCCTGCTTTCTATAAAAGCAGTCTTGCTTCTCCCTTCCTTCACCACCCAGTGTGTGGATGAGGGATGCTCACCAAGGGGCTGCGATGGAGGTGGCAGGAGATACGGGTTCAGCTGCAGGAATCCAAACCAATATCAGAAGGAAGGCAGTCCAAGGCAGTGAGTGATCAGAGGGTGAATTGCTCTCAACCCCTCCTTTGCAACAGTCCAATCTTGCACTAACTGCTCACCATGCGGTTAAAGGAGCAGAAATATGGGCACAAGCAGTGTTTGAGCAGTTGCTTAAGAAATAAGAAGTGGGCTCCTTGTAGCTTAGGCACAGTTGAAATAAACAGGACCAGAAGATGGTATTTCCATAAGCTTGGGGAACAGATACACCCTCTTGCAATAAAATCCATGAACTGCATGGACAAAATAGCTCAACTGCCCTTCAGGGTGATCTGTGGGGAAAAAAAAGCCCCTTCCACAGCAGGACTTTGACCTGACCCCATATGGAGCTCTCATGCTGTTCCAGGAGCCATGCTAACTGCAGGCTGTCAGCAGCACCAAGTCCTGAGCAGCTTACCAAGAACTTAGCATCTGCTTCATTGAATGACTCCTGGCACCTATAGAGGAAAGAGGTTTCCAGGGTCCCACAAATACGGGACAAGTCATGGGACAGTCCCTGGAGCCCAAATGCAGCCTGGTCTTGTTCAAAGTGACAAAGGAAACGAAGTCAGAATTTGCTTGTGGGAACATTTCTGCTGTGTATTAAAGCTATCTCTGGTACATCTGCAGAGATGCCTACACAGCAATTCCAGGTAACACAGCAGTAACAGCAGCGCTGTCTCGATGCAGGAGAGAAAACAAGCCCAGAGCAGCGCAGTCAGCTGAGCTTACACTTTATAATGGCAGTTATCAGTGATTTTTGCCAGCACCGAAGCAGCCCACACACAGGCAGAGGAGAGCTGCTGAGCACAGCTCAGCACAGCACGGGTCAGAGCAGCCCAGCTCCCTGACAGTCAGCATCCATGGGAAGCTTTCTGGAAGAGGAGCTTTCTCACGTGCTGTTTGTAATCCCCTGTGCTCAGAAACTACACAGAGCCAAAGTGCATGAGGATACAGCTCCAGTGTGCAACTTTCCACCCCACGAGCAACAAGCGCATCACTGACAGGACACGGTAACGAACACTGAGATGTTCCACCTCGCCCTAAGCAGCCAAGAAACTCAACCTTGGTGCGCAAACCTTCCCAAGCACCCACCACCATCCAGCTGTCTTACAAAATCCAAAGGCTATATAAAGAAAAACTACCAGACGTTTCTTGATGCAACACCGATTGTGCCTGAGCTAAAAATAAGGCGTTTGGATGTTGTGACATTTCAGTGGAAGCCTTCATTAGCCCCTGACTTGCACAATGCTGCTGATTTCTATGAAAAGTTAACTGAAGGACAAAAGGACTGGGAAAACCTGGAGTATTTCATGTGTTGCTGCCAATGGCAAAAGCAGATTCCCAGGCACAGCTAGCTGCAGATACCACTTGCTATAGAAATGAACAGCCAGCTGAACATTCAAGTGCTTAAGCTCAGCTCACCAGGGAACTTGCATTTAAAGGGAGGTTCTCTGACACGGTCCCTCGCCACTTGGCCGACAGTAGCCATCAGAGGGTTTTTAAGTTCATACTTTATACACTGCACTTGGGTTCTTGTTTTCTTTAACCTTCTTCACACTATTCCTCCGTCCAGCGTTTCCACCCAGCTGCAGTTGAAACAAGGGCTGTGGAATGAGCTCAGGGCATCCATTCCCACTTCCCTCAAATCCCATGCAGACCAAGCATCCTTAACAGTAACAGACACTGTGGGGTGGATTCATGCATTCACTTATTAAGTCTTAAGGCACGGTGCTCTACCTTCCTATTTCTGAAGGCGTTTGTCCTACCTCATCCATTTTTGATGGGACCTCTTCTAAGGGGTATGCTTATTCCTAGCTATTTTTGTACTTGCCTATCATTATTCACAAAGAATAGCAGGGAATCTTCCTATTAGCACAGAAAATGTTCAAATGCTACAGTGGGAGCCATGCAAACTCTTGGAACACTCAGATTAAAGAGTACCTGTGGATCTTGGGGAAGAAGCCACGGGGGGGATTTTCACACGTGCTCAAAGCAGTACAACAGCGAGTCGCTGTGTGAAAACCTGTCCCAGTCATACGTTCCACAGCTTCGCAGCTCCAGTCCCTCTCACATCCTGTCCTCTCTTACATTAGCTGCTTTGTAGCCCTCAGATTAATAACAGTTGTGAGTTCAAAGGTGGTAAAGGGAACTACTTCAGTTACTGGAGCCCAAATTTAACACAGATGTCTTCTGAAGTCTTCACTGTTCAGTCACCATCTACTCCAGGATTAGAACTAAGAACATTATCTGAAACTTTGATCTTCCTTAATTGATTTAATTTACTTAGTATAAAAACACACATTGGAATATACATGAGCAATGGGAAGCAAGTATTTACAGATGATTAAATATACAAAGTCTCATATAGGTACTTACCTTTACAAAAGAAATGATGCTAAAATCTGTCATGTGCTTTCTGAACATTTCCAGCCTCTTAGACATGAAGATGGACCTATCTTCTACCCACAGTACATTTCATTAATAAAGCTTCTGAAAGCCCTCTCCATTTACTGTGCAAGACATACATTCTGTATTAGACACAAGTACTTACTACAAGCACATGCAACCATAAACCAGACAAGTTATGATTGGTTAAGGCACAAGGCTCAATTTAGTGCTACTGTGCAATCTAATGTGTAAAGAAATAAATCAAGCTAGCTCAACTTAGTACCACTTACTGGTAGTCTATACTGATCTTTACAGTTTAGTCAAACACCCTAAACGCATACGTGACCCAAGTCAAGATCCTGTAATGCGTAGACCTATTGTCCAGGAAACCCCCAGCTGCGTACTTGGCTTACATGAAGCGAAATAGCTGACGGGAAGATGTGGATGGTTGAATCCCTCTTCAGAAGAGTACACTACAAGTAAGTATGTACAACTGCTAAAACCCCAAGTTTAACCAAATATGACTACAAATAAGCCCAGCTGACCTGAGTTCAGGAAAGGTGGAATAGGAGGGACCAATGTCCCATTTGTGTGTGGATTCTCTAAAACCTGTGACATCGTATCAAAACTGGTGTTTTCAATATGCTCCAGTGAATTTCTTTTTAATTTACTTATTTAAAAAATAGCTACCTGACTTAGTACTAAATGAAAGTGCATTAGGACAGCTAGACAGTCTCCAACCCCTTTAGAGACATGCTTAATGTAAATGAGCGCTTAGTGGTTTACCAAAAGAGTGCCCACATACATAAAGCATGTGCTCAGCATGAGGACTCAAGCTAAATGCTGGAATAAAAGAGCAAAACAAAGAGAGTTCACCAGCAAATCCATTTGCTGGGTATCGGATGCTACTGGTATGTGCAGGCTTTCATATAACCCCAGTGTGACAGTAAAAATAGAAATATTCAGAAGGATCAAAGGCTAAATAACTGAGGAAGCTCCCACGTACAGCACCGCATTAGAGGGGAGACGAAGTTTTAAGAGAAAGCCTGAGCACACTGAACAAGAGCACAACTGAGATTCCAAGCTGAAAATAGCACAAGAGAAGTTCAGGTGCTGAGAGCAATCTTCCTCCGTCGAAGTGGGTAGCGTCTTCTTTCTGGTGAACCTACAGCTTTTCTTCTTTTAAGCAAAACATTTTTATTGGTACCAGTGTCTGTTGGTGTGACCTCTCCTGGCGAGAAGAGATTTTGGACATCGGTTTCCTTCTTTTCTTTGCAAGCAAAGACTCCTTGCTGCACCCTGCAGAGTTCCAAGGTTGGTTGCCAAGTTAACGCTTGGGAAAAACCTTCTGCTCTTTCTATTAGTCCTGGGAGAGTCTGCAAAAACAAACCCAAGTGTCTCATGTTACATGGGGAAAGTAATGGTTACAGTGAATGAAATGTGTTTATAGAATCATAGAATAGTTAGGGTAGGAAAGGACCTCAAGATCACCCAGTTCCAACCCCCTGCCATGGGCAGGGACACTTCACACCAGACTGTGTCACCCCAGGTTCAGTCCAACATGGCCTTGAAATGCCAGGGATAGAGCATTACCACTTCTCAGGGCACCCTGCGCCAGCACCTCAGCACCCTCACAGGGAAGAGCTTCTGACTTAGATCTAACCTGAACTTCCCCTGTTTCAGTTTGAACCCATCATCCCTTATTCTATCACTAGAGTCCCTGATGAAGAGTCCTTCTCCAGCATCCTTGTAGGATCATTAGATTCTGACGGGCACAAAAGCTTCAGAGGCTGCAGAAAGGATCCTTCAGGTGGCAGGTGAAGGTTGGCAACTCAGAGCTACCAGCCAAAGAGTGACAAGGGTCTCTGCTCAAGAAGCAATGCAAGGAGTATGCCAAGTTTCAATGTTCCTGCATTACATCTCCAAGCTGAGTAGCACAGGAACACCACAGTTCATGTCTAAGCTGGTACTGAAGTAATAAGTCCCATGCTATATGAAGCTGTTCAGGTCTTCAAAATATGTTTTAGTTTTCAGATGCTGCAGGCTCTAAAATCTCTGTAAAAAACACATACAGCCACAGGGTCATCTTCCTCACCACCATGTGAGATGTAATGCTTTACAGATGGAACTTCAGCAGTCCAAACCTGAAGATTAACCTACTTGAACAGTACACACACAGGCTTTCTGGTACAAATCCACAGCCGAGACAGGTTAGAACTCCTGTTCTCTGACATATTTATCAGCTCAAGAAACTAAAGATTATCTTCTCAGAACACAGAGATCTCACCGTCATTGCTTCTCTGATGTGTTTGGATGCCATTTCCATCACCTGCTTCAGATCTGCGATGTAAGCATCTACAGAAAAAACCCAAAGCCCAAATGAACTTCTGAAATACAACTTCCTCCCCCCACTATCTGCTTAGGAATCAAACAGAAAAGCAGGGGGGTCCCAGTATAAAATTAAACCTACAACACAACTCTTTCATTATGGCATTGAGGACAAGAGCTCGTATGTTTTATTTTACTATTATTACTCTTTTAACACTCAAAATGTCGTAGTGCCTAGCAGTCTCAACTATCACAAGCTGCAAAGCTCTTCACTAGAAAGCCTACAGCTTATACAAAACATGAGACACAGTGTTTGACACAAAGGAAGAGAACAGAAAAAGATCTGTTTTCAAACCTTTCAAGTTCATATTACACTGAATAAAAACGCATGAAAGAACACAACTGTGGAGAAAGTGAGGTAAAGTAAACCCATTTTTAAGGAGCTCCAACAAGTCGGCTTTTACAATAAAGGTTACATTTTTCTCCTGGCTGAGCCTACCAAGCGTTAGCATCAAGACTAAAACAGAACCAAGCATAAACAACATGAACTGCATTAATTCTCCTGGGTTAATAAGCAAAGAAAGAAAAAGAAGCTTTCAGGAACACTGAAGCAGGCAGCAGGTGCAGAATACTGTGAGGAAATGGCATATACTTGATTGCAGGAGCAATATGATAACATCATCAACACAATATATGTTTTTGATGATTGAGTAAAGAATTATTGTTTGTAAATCAAAAGTTCAACTCTTCCAAAACTGGTTTGCATGTTCTCTGCTATTCTGTCTCCAATGCTATGCCACCACCACCAAACCCCTAAAATGAAAGGATAAGCAAGTGTTATATGGTGAAGACAGCTTATGTCAATCACTGTGTTCTAGCACAGGGTGACAGTGAACCCCTGCTGAAACACAGTGAGAGTGAGCAGCAAGAGATGGTGCTTGGTTAAACGGTCTCTTCAGATGCCCGATGTGCTGAGCAGGGATGGTTGAGGGACGCATGACCCATGTATGATGTGGATACTAAAATGCACCATCATTTTCAGAGTTCAGAAGGAGAGGTAGTTCAACAGCAGCCTCTTTAAACACACCACAGAGGCCTACGAATGGACATCCTCTAAAAGGACATGTCTATAATGAAGTGTTCTTACAGGAGAGTATTTGGATTAGAAAATTGGTGATCCTATGAAAAAGCAAGGAAGGAGTTAAGTAAAAATAATTCCTTTGATTATTGCAGTTATACAGAAGGACTGACAGTTAAATGAAATGTGCCTGCAGGCGTGCAGCTTGACAGCATTACATTCCTCAGTGTTCAAAGCTTTCCAAAACATAGGGAAATGAAAAAAGGAAACGAAAGGTATTGAGTAATCTAAATATTTTTGGTTTCTGGCCACTGTATGTGCTAAACTGGGATACATAAACTTCCCAAAGACTACATAATACTAAAATTTAGCACAAACTCTATGCTATCTTAGCTAGGACTTTGCTGTTACCAAACCTAAAAGGGCAATACCATAGTGCAAGCTGTTACTAACTTGCAAGAAGTAGTTGATTCACATCAGAAAAGCATAGACCTGGACACTGGAAACTAAAAGCAACTCAGCCATGAAGTGACACTCTTTACTGCTCCTATTAGCTGCACAGGCTGGCATTTCTGGAAGCAATGTCTCCTGTTTACAAAGAGGAAATGATGACTAAAATGCAGCCACATCAGCAGGGTGAGAGCTCGAAGATTAAGCTCAGCTTCTCAAACTTAAACACCACTGCTTGTTACATCAGCTTTAAACCACGTGCAGCAATTCATAGTGGATTGTGTGTCATCACACTTCAACTTAGAACAACATTGATAAATTGTGTAATTCTTCAACACCTAAGAACAGGCAAGACAAAAGTTTCTATTTCTTAAGGCCGACCTCAAAAGAAGTACATCCCAAACACCAACTGCAAAATACACTGCCTCATTCCAAGAAGTTTGTATAAGGAATCTTTCAAAAGTATGCAGCAAACTCATGGTGTTGTTTGCAGTTTTGTTTCTTCATCAACCCTTACAAACGGCAGAGGCAGGATAAAATTTGATGCTTCCTCTGCAAGTTAGGAGAGTTCACGCTGCCGTCACTGAGCACTAGGTGAGTGTTTTCAATTCGCTGAAGAAACTGACTGATTAGGAAGAGAGACAGAAGCATTTCTAGTATTCATACAGAAGGAACACAAGAATGGTCAAAGTATAATGTCAGTAATCCATTTAGTTCCCTATCTGGCCTCCGCCAGCAGTGAAGAAGAAAACCTATTGAGAGCAGTAGCTCTGTGACAATTTCTACCCAATCCACCTTTAAGTACAGTGCTTGACAGCAGACAGCACTTAAACAAGAGCAATGAACACAATGAACTGATGCAGCACTACATGCAGTCATGACAAACTTCTAGCTGCTTTAGCTGGTTATTTAAACAAGTTCAAAGAAAGAAAACCTCTTCAACATTTACAGCTGGCCAATCAGGGAGGCAGTGTTTCCTCAGGCAGCTGCCCTCCCCATGAAATCTTTACCTTGAGAAGGTGGTGATCTTATCTCCTCTGGTGGTACCACAGGCTGGTAGAGCATCTGCATATTCAAAACAAAGACAGATTCTGAAACAGCCTCTTGGTTTAATAGATATTTAATATACACAGAGCAGAAAGAACAACAGAGAAAGGCTAATACAAAATGATGGTGGTGGAATTGCTCAGATAAGGAAAGTATGAGAGATAAAGTTTATAGATAGCTACTGGAAACAGTGTTCTGGTTAATAGAGTGACGTTCATTGCAAACATCTCCAAAATCTGCTGTAGCTTGCAGAATTGTAGTTACTAAAGCCTGAGAACTAAACTGAATCCAGTTTTAGAAGATGCATTGCCACCTGCTGCACAACTGAGGAAAAAGCTGCTCTGGTTTCTAAGGAGCCATTCACAAAACCAGCAGTACACTTTCACAGGGGAGCAAATTCAAACAAAGGGTACATTAAAACAAAAGCTAAGAAAAAGAAAACTATTTAAATGACTACATTCTAGCCCTGCAACTACATATGTGTAAGTATGAACACTCTGCTCCACAGGTCAGGCTGTCTGGCTTTTTCGTCCTACTCTGAGTCTTGTGACTTGACATCAGTTAATTGTGACATGAAGTTAACTAATAATAACTAATGAATACAACTAATATTTAGTTACATCAGTGGTAGGATTAGAAGTAACTAATAGGGAAGGAAAAAACCACAGACATGACAATGTAAGCTATATCATCTGGAAGTTACTATTTTTCTCCACTTCAGGAGCTGTCCCTCCAACCTTCTTCAATCAAAAGCACATGGGAGGAAAGTCATTTATTCCTCCCTGTAGTTGTACTAGAGCAATTTTTTCACACTTGACAGATCTTCTTAGCAACCTTACAGTAACAACTCCAAGCAGAAGAACAAACATTGTCTGCATTATCCTCAAACATAACAGAATGTATTGATTGAAAACTTATACGGTGATCATCTAGTTGTAGTCGTGTAAAACTTGGAAGAGCTCAGCAGCAGGAAAAGGGCATCTCCAAGGATGGAGACTCCACAGTCTCGCTGGGCAACCTGTGCCAATGGTTTGACTACCATCACAGCTGGGTTTTTTGTTAACGGTTACACGGAATTTCCTGTATTTCCACTGCCTCTTGTTGTTGTTGTTTTTTCCTTTTTTCCCCCAAGGAAATTGACTCCTAATTAATCAGCAGGTAAGCAAAAGGCAGATCTAACTTAACAGCAGGAAAGAAACGCAGCAACCAAGGACAAGACTAAGCTGTTTAATGCCAGTAATTACGCTCAGTATCAAAAAACCCCAGAGAAATTACTGCATCTATTCATTAATCCACATTACCTTTTTTTCTTTTCTTTCTTTACTGGAAGTACTTACTCAGTGTTACTTAAGTAGTCAGCTCAACAAAGCACTTAGGAAAACAAAGCCACCTTTTGAACAGCCTGCATATCATAATGTCTATCACAGAATCACAGAATCAGCTAGGTTGGAAAAGACCTTTAAGATCATCAAGTCCAACCATTACCCCAGGACTGCCAAGTTCACCACTAAACCAAGTCACTGAGAGCCTCATCTACACGTTTTCTGAACACTTCCAGGGATGGTGATTCCACCATTTCCCTGGGCAGCCTGTTCCAACGCCTGATCACCCTCTGGATGAAGATGTCCTAATACCCAATCTAAACATCACCTGGTGCAGCTTGAGGTCATTACCTCTTGTACTGCCACTTGTATCTGTACGTAACAGAACATTTAGTACTTCAACCAGCCTTCAGGCAAGGATTTCAGAAACCCAGATTTGACATCTGGGTAACTAGGTGAATACTGGCTTGTAAATCATGAGATAAAGCAATCTGCTTAACTAACTTGTTGAATGTGCCAAAAGCACAGTTCACTCACAGTCACAATGGTCTGTAGTAACCCTCACTTTACTGAAGAGCCAATTAATGCAAAGAACTGAATTTCATAGAATCATAGAATAGTTAGGGTTGGAAAGGACCTTAAGATCATCTAATTTCACTATAATGCAAAGAATCCAGAGCAACTATGGGAAGAAGCTTAAAAGGTCAAGGTTATTTTTTAAGTTCCAGATGATCAGCAACTAGTATATGCAAAGGTTTTCTGAAAATCATAGGATACTCACCAACAACTCTTGCTCTGCCTTCATGGCTTGGATAGCATGAATCAGTATCTTTCTAGGCCACTGCTTACGCTTTGTTGTTGTCACTACTATTACTTTATCAAATTCATCTTCAAGAACTTTAATGTCTGAACCTAAAAATGACACACAAAGTTACTGTAGGAATTCTAAGTTTTTGTTGGTTTTCTTATTTTTAATTTGAGACAAAGTCTCAACAAAAAGAGAGTTTTAGATCTGCAATACGAAATCATGCATAATTATCAATGAAAAGATAAATATATGTCTTGTACCTTCTTTCTAAGGCAATACAGAAATGGAAGCACAACATGGGGCATGGGGAGGTAGAGAATCACCTGGGGCAAAAAGCAAACCCCTATTTCTTTATGAACTCTGAAGATATGAAGAACGTCTCACAAAAAAAACTGCTCTCTTTTGAGGGAACTTGTTTTCCAAGTGAAGAAAAGCAACACAGGATGCAGCAAGAAAAATGGTTTATCTGTGTAAGTTACAAGCATTACGCAAACACCAACTATGCAAAGAGTCATTTGAAGCCACCTGACTGTATTTCATACAGAGCACAAACATGCAGTTGAACCTGACAATGAAACACAGTTCCTGGCAATACTCTGCATCCTGATGACACCTGTAACTCCTAGTTGGAAGGAGTTTGCAAAACCCAAAACATATCTGCTTTCAACATCAGAGGCCCAAGAGACCGTATGTAGTAGGACCTAACTTTCATAACTTGCTTTTCCACTCCCAAGATTCAGTACCTAGAATGTATTTTCAGCTTTCAATTGGTGTTTTCACTACTCCTACCCTACAGAAGATATATACTCCCTGTTTTCACTAATGTCTTGAGCACAACTTGCATGCCATGCAATGTTTTCCACCTAGTGGTAAAGAATTGATCTTGAGCACCTTCTCTGGGTCAACCTGCGCAGACTCAGGTGATTGTAAACCTCAGAAAGGAAAACGCAAGGTTTTAAGAGTTTGTGGGTTTGCTTGGTTTAGGATCACCATGAAATCATTTAAGTACAGAGAGGAAACATTTGAGCCCCTGGTCACTGTAAATACTGGAGGCTCAAAATGCCAGATCACTGGGTGATTCCAGCTGGATCAGATAGGCAGGCAGATGAGTAAATTTAAGTGAAACCGAAAAGCACAACACGGTCCTTACATCAACTGCAGGAAGATGGCAGTATCTCAGCTGGCATTAAGTTAGACTTGTACAGACAAAGGAGAACTTACTGAAAATAACATTTGTCTGGACAAAGTTTTCCTGCTAAGAAAACCCTGTTGAGAATTTTTTGGACAAATCTGAATTAGTGAAGTGAGCCTGAATCAGTTTGGCATTTTGCATCATGAGACCAATGCATTTTTGACCTCATTGTCAAAGGAACTGATGTTTTGTCATTCTAGAACTACCATTGCAGAAGCTTCCTAACCAAAAGAGTTCAAGGAGCTCCCTCTCCACAGCCAGTTCAACATACCTGTATCTTCAGCTTTGTGCAACTGTCAAAAGCATCAAGTTTCAGGCAAAGAATACCTAATGCTAATGGAGGAAGCAAATGAATGGTACTGAAGTTTTCTTTGGACACCAGACTACTAAGAATCTCTACTATTATTATTCAAAAGACAGTAAGTATAAACATAGTATATATATTAGATATAAATACCAGTAATTTTAGCCACTTACTTAATTTGTATATTAAATAGCAGCAACAGACATACTACTAGATTCTTTTGACAGGAAGAGATCTTGGCCAGTGTCCCCAGCACAAGGCCACTCAGGCTAGAAGGGCCCTCAGGAAGGCTCTTGTGACTCAAGCCTCCTGCTCACAGCAGAATCAACTCCCAGTTTAAATCAGGTTGCTCCGAATACTTTTGTCCAGTTGGTTATTGGAAGCCTCCAGTGCTGGCGACTGCACAAGCTCTCTGAGCAACCTTTTCCAATGCTCAGTTACCCTAATGTGAGTTTTTACTTCCTTACATCAAGTCAGAATCTCCCCTTTCAGTGTGAGCCTTGCCTTTTGCTCCCCCACTGCACACCTCTATAAACAGCCTGCCTCTGTGTTCTCAGTAACCTCTCTGTGGGTACTGGAAGGCTGGCTTGTCTTCTTTGGGTTCAGCAAGTCAATTCCTTCAGTCTCAACTCACAGTGCAAGTGCTCCAGTCCCCTGGGCACCTGGCAGCCTCTGATGAACCAACTCCAGCTTATCAACAACTTTCCTGTACTGGGGGTGGGTCCTAAACTGAGTGTAGTAGTCCAGATGTGCTCCAGAAAGTGCAGACTAAAGGCAAATAATCACTTCTTTGTACCTACTGACTACACTCCTGTTGACACAATATACTAGGTTGGCTCATGGTTAGCCCACCAGCACCCTCAGGTCCCACACCTCTGCAGGGGGTTATCCCTTCCCAGGTTCAGGGCTTTGCTTTTGTCTTTGCTGTATTTTATCAGATTCCCAGATGCATTTCTCCAACCTGTTTACATTCTACTGAATGGGCCTGCCCTTGAGCATATTCACTACATCCCACCGTGGCTGATGTCAGCTGCAAATAGGGTGAAGGCACTTCCCATCTCCTTCAGGTCTTGGATAGGCACTAACAAGAATGGGTCCCAGAATAGACACCTGAGGAACTGTGTTTGTAATCAGCCCCGAGGTAAAAGTATGAACCATTGAACACTACCCTCTGAGCTTAATGATCCAGCCACGATTCTCACCCGCTAAGCTGTAACATCCTAGCTTGGATGCACCAAGAGACAGCGTCACTGGGTATGGGAGCAATTCAAAACAGCAAGAGGACTGGCATCTGGAGCACATGATGTACGACAAGCAGCAGAGGGAGCTGGGTTTGCTCAGCCTGGAGGCTCAGCTAAGGGGTGACTTAACCGCTATCCTCAGATACCTGAAGGGTGTTTCTAGAGAGGACAGAGGCAGGCTCTTCTCAGAGTTGTGCAGCAGGAGGATGAGAGGCAACAGATACGTTGCAGTAACGGGAATTCCAACAGGAACTGCCAAACACAGAAACTGACTGTCCAGAGAGGATGGGAGGTCACTGGACTTGGATCTATTGTTGTGTTCTAGCTTTAAAAATAGGTCACCTTACCCCATTCCATTGAATTTTGTATATTACCTTTATTCTGATAGGAGAAACTGATGAAATAGAACATGCTCTTTCCTAACCTCCCAAATGAAAAGTCTTGCTACGAAATGCCAACTTCCGAAAAGCTTGCTGAAGACTTTCCAACAAGACTGCTGCCCTTAAACTTTGATAAACCTTTCTTTTTCCCCATGTTAATATCAGCTACTTTGGGACAGTCTATACGCTACTTTTCTGTGGTAGTCAAGAGCAAATCCTTTAAGTTATGTAGGCACCATATTAGTGATAGCTGGAGCTTGTGCAAGATTGATAAGGATCTTGAGAAGTGTCAAACAAGCAACAGTCCTTCACATAAAACACTTTGCCTGTCTCTTTTCTCTTGGATACAGGTCCCTAAACATCTTGGTTACTCTTATTTTCATTTATAAGCACTGCTCTGCAAAAATTGTGTTCCCACAGTACAGCACTAAACATCTTTACACAGGCACATCTGAGCTGGAGTTTGACCTCCCCTGCTCCGTAAGCATCCTTACAACCACTGCCCAATTCAAGAAACCACAAGCAGAAACCAAAACAAACCCACTCAGGAGATCAATGGAAACACACACATACCACTCTCGGGTTTGGAGTCATCTTGAGCCTCATCCCAGGGCTGCCCATTGATGGTGACATTCTCCTGCACCGCTGTTTTGAAGTTCTGCAAGACAAAGGAGAGCTTGAGAAACCCTCCTTCAGCTTCTTCAGGAGCCCTCCCCAGGTAGGAGGCTTCAGGAAGCATCCTCCACGTACGTGATGTCTGCCGCTGGAAAGGCTGCTCTGGCCTCACTGCCCTGCCCAGGTCAGCCCTGTCAGGGTGAACAACTACGTCTGTAGTTCAGCTATGCAGAACCATAGATTCAACCGGGTTGGAAAAGCCCTTTAAGCTCACCAGGTCCAACCATTGCTCAGCACTGCCAAGGCCACCACTGACCCATGACACTGAGGCCTCGTCTCCACAGTGTGAACACTTGCAGGGCCGGTGACTGCAGCCCTGCCCTGGGCAGCCTGTTCCAATGCCTGAGCACCCTCTGGGGCAGGAATTGTTCCTCAGCTCCATCTAAACCTGCCCTGGGGCAGCTTGAAGCCGTTTCCTCTTGTCCCATCCCTTGTTCCTTGGGAGCAGAGCCCAGCCCCTCCTGGCTCCATCCTCGTGTCAGGCACTTGTAGGGAGGCATCAGGTCCCCCCTGAGCCTTCTCTTCTCCAGACTGAACCCCCCAGGTCCCTCAGCCCTTCCCCATCACACTTGTGCTCTGGGCCCTGCACCAGCTCCGTTGCCCGCCCCTGGCCCCGCTCCAGCACCTCAATGTCCCTCTCCTAGCAAACACAAACCCATTAAGGTAACGCGAACACCTCAGCTTAGTGCCGGGCCCCTGCCAGCATTCGAGACCCGGTGTCGCTGGGCCAGGCCGGGCCGCTCCCTCCCCGCCTCACCCAGAGCGCGTCCCCCGCGGTGACGGTCCCGCCCGGCTGCCCCTGCTCCAGGGCCCGCAGGAAGGGCGCGCAGAGCTCCATCGCCTCGGCCAGGCCGCGCCGCCGGCAACACCGCACCCGCGCGTCCCGCCCGGCAGGGCCCGGGCTGAGCGGCGGCCGCGGCGGGGTCGCCATTTCCCGCCTAGCACGCAGGGGAAATGCCGGCCCGGAAGCAGAACCCGCGGCCACCCCGCCTCTTCCTCTGCGCCCGCGGCGCGGCATGGCGGCGGGGCCGGTGGACTGCCACTGCCACCTCGCCGCGCCCTGCTTCCAGGCGGTGAGGCGCGGGCGGGTGGGTGCCTGCGGTCCCGGCCGCGGCTCCGGCTCCGGCCGTGTCGCTGAGGCGATGCGTGTCTCTTGCAGGACGTGGCGGATGTGGTGCGGGCGGCACAGCAGGTGAGGCGCCCGGCAGCGACCCGCGGCCCGCTCCGCCCCGGCCCGGCCTCAGCGGCGCGGGGGTTTCTGTGTGCTGCAGGCGGCGGTGTCGGCCCTTGTCGTGGTGTCGGAGCAGGCGGCGGAGTTCCCGAGCGTCCTGGCGCTGTCGGAGAGGTGCGAGGCGGGAGGGGAGGCTTGGAGCTCACGTCAAGTGCCGCGGCACCCCCTCCCCTGTCCTAGAACCCTTCCGCTGTGTCCCGCAGCACTCCCCCCACCCCGGTGGGAGCTGATGGGGGCTCGTTGCCCTCTTCCTTGGTCAGGCTGTGCTGGCTGTAAACCCGCTTTCTGTGCAGTCTCTCTCACGGTACTGATGCACATTCCATGCCTAGATTCCCAGGGTTTGTTTTCCCGTGCCTGGGAGTTCACCCGGTTCAGGAGGTTTCACCAGAGGAGCAGCGCAGCGTTACGCTGAAGGTAAACCACAGAGAGTTAACTCGGCTGCAGAATACAGCTGGGACTGCTCAGGGCAGATGATGGAGTGCTCCGGTTTGCCTGATTTAACGTAGATCTGCCCGGTGACTTTTCTTGCTCTCTCTGTAATACAAAAGACCCAGCAGACTGAACCCCAGGGTCTCCTAGCACATCCGTTTCTCTGCGTTAGTCCTAAGGCAGAACTGTTCACTGCAGTCATCTGGCCGTGTTACTGGAGTAAAACAGTTTGTAGAAGTCCCAGGTGAGTGCTTTGCTTACAGTGAACAGCACACGTGTGTTCGCAGATGTCCCTTTGTTAGCATGGGAAGTGGAAGGCAGTGGTTTGTGCCCTTAGCCTGAAAAACTTGGGGGCTGTCTGCAGCCTTTGTTTTAATTACTTCTGCTCCTATGGAAGGATAACTTGAAATAAAGGGTCATGGTGTAAAGAACGGTAATCCTGCAGGTTTCTAGAATCTGACCACACAACTCCCGGTAATAGCAAGTTTTAAGGTACAGAATTTAAGCTTGATGAAGGGAACTCCAATTTAATCATAACGCTGAGTTCAAACCCTTCTACCTGGTAAGGGCAGTGAGGGTTGCATCTGTAATTTGTTCTTGCAGGATCTGGATGCTGCATTGCCGCTTATAGAACTCTACAAAGATAAACTGGTGGGGATTGGGGAAGTAAGTAAAATTCCATAACTTGTTTAAATGTCTATGACTTTGACAGTGTCTTTGGGATTGAATGCAGAGAGGGACTCTTCAGTTCAGGTTAGATCTAAGGCAGAAGCTCTTCCCTGTGAGGGTGCTGAGGCACCGGCACAGGGTGCCCAGAGAAGCTGTGGCTGCCCCATTCCTGGCAGCGTTCAAGGCCAGGTTGGACACAGGGGCTTGGAGCAACCTGCTCTAGTTCCTTCGAAGCCAAACCATTATGTGATTCCATCTGTCACCAGAATTACAAAAACTTAGCGAATACTTGGTTTTGTGTATGCAATAAGTGTTGCTGTCAGTCTGAACAAGCACTAAGTCTGATTTGTAATTCTCTTAATGTGTTTTCCTTCAGTTTTGCTGTTCCCTTCTTTTGCTTCTTTGTCATTATTAGGAAATAGATGACATTTATGCTCGTGAATTTCATAGGAAGATTGCATAATCATGCTATATTGCCGTACACCCAAATGTCTTTGGACCTGTTCTCTGATACTGTGAAATGTCAAGTCACGTTGTTACCCTCATTCAGATCCTTCCTGCCTTCTTCCCTGACAAAGTGAGGCTGAGCTATGACTTCAGTACACCTCACTAATGCGTACAGTCCTTTTTTCTTGTGATCCCTCTCTGTCTGTATCCTTATGTTGTCTCCTGTCTTACATTTGTTTATAAACTGAGGCTTGAAAGCTCCAGGGTAGAGTCAGCTTTTTGTGTGTTGGTACTGGAGGGACTTACTTATTTGCTCACAAGTAGTTTCACAGTTGAAGAGCTCATGGCTGAGAATGGATTTCTTTCTGAGTTCAGCTGCAGTTGAGCTCATTTTAATTGCAGTCTCTAATATGTATGTTTTGAAATGCCTGTGGGTTTGAAGCATTTGTTGCCTTTATATGTGGTATTGTGGTTTTGTCAAATGCTAGATCTGTTAAAGGTTTTCACTTCTCTTCTTGTACTGTAGGTTGGACTAGATTTCACTCCCAGATTTGCCAGCACAGATGAACAGAAGGAAGGACAAAGACAGGTTTTGATCAAGCAGACTGAGATAGCGAGAAGACTGGATTTGCCTTTGTAGGTGGTATTTATACTAGTATGAGAATTTGCCAGATTTCAATAACATGAGGAAACATTTCCCAGGATTTATAATTATTACTTACATGGATTAAACTGGCATTAGTGTCCTGACTGCCTCCAGTCTGATATGCAATTATAGAACTTTCCCTATGTTTCCACTTGAATACAGTCATCTTCTATGTCCTGCCCTTGCCATGTTGTTGCTGCATCTTCACTGTAGCTAAAATGATTCATATTTACGTCTCTAGATGTTTTTTTCTCCTGATAAAGGTGTACTACAGAGTAATTATTTTCATCCCAAGCTGCTGCTGTTCATCTGTGTTTTGTCCAAAAAAAAAGTATTTTGCTGTGTTTCCTAATGCCTTATCTCCTTGCTGTACAGAAATGTTCATTCCCGCTCGGCTGGAAGACCGACCATTAACCTCTTGAAGGAGCAAGGTATGTTTTTAATGAGTTTTCTCTGTCATGTCTTTTGTTAGCATTGTTTCTTCTGTTGTGCCATGTCCTCAGATCAGTTTGTGTACATTAAACTTAGGAGGAACAGTGCGGAGATTTGATGTCCGTTCTTTATGGGACTGAGATCCCATTGGAAGCTGATGTTGCAGACCTACTGTAAGCCCTGCTGATGATTTGGTTTGCTTCTCTTCTCTGAGGTGCTACCAAGGTGTTGCTCCATGCCTTTGATGGAAAGCCATCTGTTGCAATGGAAGGGGTGAAAGCTGGATACTTCTTCTCCATTCCTCCTTCCATTATAAGGAGTGAACAGGTAACGTTTAAAGGGGTTTGCTGCTTGCATTGCAGGTAATATCTGACATCTTATCATGATAGCAAATGTGACAGCTCAGGAACATGCCTGTTGAAGTCTACAGTTCGACGTGGGACTGGCAGTACTCGCTATGGTTGCTGTCACCTGACACTTCTCAATAGAAGTTTCAGTTCTTAGTGTTGCACATTTTTACTTTGGCGCAATTTCTGCCTGGGATTTTTGCCTTGGCTGACTTTTTGGGGGAAGTGTTGGCTAAACCAGTTCAGCTATTCCTGAGAAACAAGGATTGAGAAAATAAGTGATTTTTTTCTCATTTACATGGGGCTTCTGGTGAACTTTTCTTCAGAAGCTTCTGTCACTGTACTGTCCTAGAGCAAGACATGATGTGGAAAAGAACTAGTTTGTGTCTCGGCACTTTCTGTTCAAAAGGAAATCTGCTCACAGTTGGCTAAGTTACAGACCCTGGAAGAACTGTGATTATCACCAAGTGTGCCCAGCAAAGACACAGCTAAATTACTTAAAGTCAGCATTGTTCAGGTTCAGCCCTTGGTTTTGTGAGGCTGCTGTTTTAATTTATACTCCGAGCTGCCACAAGCTATGCTGACTTCTGCTTTTGGAGCAGTCTGTTTCCATCCTGCACCATCATCACTTTCTGTGATAAGCTCAGGAAGTGTAAGACAGGAAAAGGCAGGATTCAAGTGGAGGGGGGGTGAGGGATGGATATAGATGGGGTAGGGTTAGGAGGAGAAAGGAAAGCAAAGTGGGGCTGAGGGGTAAAACAGAGATGAGAAAAAGCCACAGAAATATATATACATACAGAAAACCAGCTAATTAAGATTGCATTGGCAACTCTAAGGTGTTTTGTGCAGTATAACTACATGATGTAATAACAACAGATTCAGTGTTTAGATAATAGTTCAGTTATTCAGAAAACAGGATAATCCTAATTTGGAAGGACTTCTTGAGCAGCTCCTGGTATTCTTGCTTCTGTTCTGAAGTCGTTGATAAAATGCAGACAGTGACACCAAGGTCTTTTGATGTTGCTTTTAAATGCAAAACGTAGCCTCCCTTCATACATCTTCCCCCACAGCTCTAAGTGCATGAGGTGTTTAACAGTTGTCTTATTTTCTTCAAGAAGCAGAAGCTTGTGAAGCTGTTACCACTGGAAAATATGTGCTTGGAAACTGACTCTCCTGCTCTGGGGCCTGAAAAACAGGTAAATGATGGGGAGCAAGGACTTCTATGTATGTATATCCAAACCCACTCCTCATGGAGGTCAGTTACTGGCAGGGGAGATTGAAGTAGTGTAAGCATGGGTACAGAGGATGAAAGAGGTTGCCAAGTGAACGTTTTGAGATGAGCAAGTCAGTGTTCCTGAGGAAGGAGAAGTAATTCAGGAATGGGCAGAGGGAAGAATAACCCAAGAAGAAGATATGTGTAATTCTTCTGGCACAGGGTGTCACAGTTGTGCCAGGACATACTGAATCTAAAAGACCTGTATTCTGTAGGGATCTGTAATTTTGTTCTTGTTTGGTGGTGGTTTTCAGGTGAGAAATGAACCAAAAAATATCTACATTGCTGCAGAATACATTGCCAGAATTAAAGGAATTCCAGTTGAAGAAGTTATAGAAGTCACTACACAGAACGCACTGAAACTATTCCCCAAACTTCGGAACTTTCCTCAGATATAGACTGAGAAACTGAAATATATGATACTGCAGAAACTGTTATTTATGGTTTAATTAATAAAGCCAGTGTCCGTCTTGTTTTAAAGTGGAGCTTTGGTGTTGCAAAGTTGAAGAAGTGAGCAGAGTGTTCTAAAGCTGCATAGGATGAATGCAGGGAAATTCTCAAAGACCTTTTGTATGCACCATTGTCCCTCTTGGAGGTGATAAAGGCAGGTTGTTCAATTGCATCTCTCATGTTTCTCACTGAATAATGTATAAAGAAGAGCACCACACAATTGTCAGGATAGTTTCCTTGCTCAGCTGCTCCCAGTCCGGGAGATAGATGATGTGTGGTGCTTCAGCCTCACCTGAGCTCTTCAATCCTTTTTTGCTGCTGTGGTGCTGCAAAATGCTGTAGACACGCTCACAACCTGCAGTTCCCAGCCAGGCAGAGCACTGCTGAGGGCAGCCAGCCCAGCAAGGGCAATGGGGGGCTCTGTGGGACAGCCTGTGCCCCCCTCCCTGCCGTGCCCTGCGGTGCTTGAGTGGCACAGAGGTGTGGTTGGGCTGGGGAAGGAGGCATGGTCGTTGCAGCAGCAATGAGTCTGTGAGCCTGGCGCGGTGCCTGTGGCAGAACAGACTGACTTTGTCTCTCCTCAGACCTGCGGCGCCTGAGCTAAACCATGGCATAGGCAGCCTGGCGCTACAGGAAAGGAAAATGCAGTGTCATTCCCACCCTGTCTTGGCATCCCTAATGCCAAACCAGGGTCAGAAGTAGCGCCCTTTCCCGGCTGGTTTTGCTGTGCAAACTGTATCCAGCCACCTGCACTCTGCTGGGGGGAAGGGGTGGCTCATGGGGCAGCAGTGTGGCTGCACACCATGAAACCCTGCATCCCCAGGCCATCCTCCATCGCTGGCCTTAGCAGTTATCAGTGTGTGCCGAGCCCTGCTGCAGCCCCTCGGGTTGTCTGGCCAAGCATAGGACACTGGAGTGCCCCAGGGATGTACTGAGGGAAGGACCCAGTGCAAATTAAGCTAGGTGCTGTTTAGCTTGCAGGAGACCTGAGGCGAAATGAGAAAGCACAGATTTAGTGGAGACCCAAGTTTTCCCTTCAATCATGCTATTAATTTGGGGGGACATAAAAAGCCCTGGTGATGTCTGTCTCAGAGGTGGAATACTGCAAATGGTCTGCAGCCATATGGAAAGCAGTCGGTCCCAAGCTCCATCTGATACCTTTAGCCATCACCTCTTCCTGGGATGCTGCAAACAGCAGATAGGATTGCACTTTGTATGACTCCTTGTGTCTCTGTAACTTGCAGGATGTACATGATAGAAAAATCAAAACAGGTTTGTGATTTCTTTGGCATAATCAGTGCCTTCAGCGTGCCTCGCTTGTCCTCAGTGCTGTTATCCAAGTCAGCGCTCTGCTATTCAGTCAGGGCTCTGGTATCCAGGCAGCACTCTGCTATCCAGTCAGTGCCGCAATCCAGTCAGTGCTGTTATGCAAGTCAGCACTCTGCTCTCCAGTCAGCGCTCTGCTCTCCAGTGCTGCGTTACCCAGTCAGTGCTGCGTTACCCAGTCAGTGCTGCATTACTCAGTCAGTGCTATGTTACCCAGTCAGTGCAGTGTTACCCAGTCAGTGCTCTCCTATCCAGTGCTGTGTTACCCAGTCAGTACTATGTTTTCCATGCAGCTCTGGCTGGTACAGCTTCTGCCAGAAAAAAAAAACAAAAACCAAAACCACATTGCTCTGTTCTTGCCAGGCTTAAAATAACGCACCCAGATGCGTTGTGTGCACTGGGGATTCCCACACGTGCAAGGGCTTGCAGTGCATGCACAGCTCAACGCCAGGCATGACTACTGAGGGGGATGCAGGGTGACGGTAATAATGTGAAGGTACTTTCCACAGGCTGAGCTGTGGAGCTTGTAGATCTAGAGAGCTCCTAAAGTGAAGTTGCTAATAGAGGCAAAACAGTGGGCCAGTACGTGCCATCCATGGCTACCAATTCACACAGAGGTCTCTCTGCGCCTTCCTTGTTCAGCGCGCACCTTGAATCAGTAACAGGCGCTGGAAGGATGCTGCAGTTCACCTCCTTGGCTGGCTGGTCTCATTGCCCTTTGGCCTCCCAGGCCAAGCTGTTTGCAGGGCGCACGTGGAGCAAGGCAAGTGATTTTGCCTGAAGGCCAAGTGACTTGGAAGAGTGGAGCGTGTCAACACGGGAGTCGTGGACAACGCAGACGATCAATGTGATCAAGCAATTGCCCTTTATTGAGCGTCAGACATGATCTTTTATACACAAATCCACACATTGATTATACGCTGATTGGTTAACATGCCTTGCCAACAAGCTTCTGATTGGGCTTTACACAAAGTTGCTTAATACAAGTTACAACAGCACTATGTGTTGTTTAGCACTAACCTCAACATTCTTATACTGCGGTTTTACATCCTCGTTTTTGTTCTTAACGTCGCTAACGTTGCGATTTCATTTCCGCCACTGCTATCCCTGGCTAACCTCCCCTCTGGCCTAGTATTTTTCCACTTACAGAGAAGCTCTACTTATGCTAACAGAGAAGCCTGACTCATGCTAACTAAATCCATACAACAGGAGCGGGCACAGTGGAACTAAGGAGCTCATGGTAAGTCACTTGAACAACTCGGATCCTGGAAATTGCCTCTGAGTTCAGGACCAACAGCTAAGAGTGTCTAAGGGCTCTGTCTGTGCTCATTCAAATCAGTCTCCAGGAGCTCTCTTCCAAAGCTTGGACTAACAGTGCCTGAATCTGCTGAGCTCTGGAACAAACTGCCATGAGTTTTCCCAGATTCCGACATGGGAACAAGTGAGGAGATGGGGATGAGGCCATGTGGGTGATATATGCTGTTTAATCCTGCTATTTACCATGATAAGAGTTTAAACAAAATGACCAAAGACTTCTACTAGAGGTGCTTCCAACAGGCTCCTATGCAATGCATAGAGAGGCTCTTTAGAGGCAAAAGCAAATAAATACTTGGCTGGAAATGCAGCTTTCATCACTGATGAACTTCTGATTTTGTTTGTTTTTCCATTAATGCAGACTGGGGTTCGATCCTCTGTTCCCATCACAGAGAAGGAAAGTGAATTTGAGTCAGCCACTGCCGTAGCAGAAAGGTTTGTTGTTCTTCTCTTTGCTTTCTATACGCAGTACAAAGATACAGCTGAGATCAAAGAAAGGATACGAATCGCCATGGCACTTATGAGTTGTCTCAGCACTTTCCTCTTCAGCAGGTGGTTATCCATCCATTCATTGCCCCTGCTGGGGCTGGCTTTTCTGTTGGTGTGAATCAGTTGGGGCATAGGACCCCCCCTCCTGCGCAGTGGCCCCACCATGCAGTGAGTACAAAGCGCACCCTCTCCAGGGCCTGGATAACAGCTGACGTGGTCCTGCTTCCTCCTGCCCCACAAAGGCTCCCTGACTCCATCACTCTGTGTTTTGGGGTTCCTCTGACCTGGAGTGGAGCAGATGGGCATGGTCCAGGTGCGGTGCCTGCCTCCTTCCCACGTGTATTCTGTATTCAGTGACATGGTTCAGTTCTTGGCAGTGCTGGGAATGGCTGGACTTTAATCTTGATGGTGTTTTCCAACCTGGCTGAGTCGATGATTCCATTTCTGTGTGGGTTCTGGGTTTAACTCCTTTAATATGCAGACTCTGCGTCCACTACTTTGGCTGTGCCAGGGCTGTATGCTGTCATCAGAGTGCAGACACTTGTCTCCTTCAGTGCCCAGCTGCAGCTTAGATAAAGTACATGTCCTGTGTTGATAGAAATTTTCTTGTGAGCAGTGCAACCAATAAAGCTTTCCAGCTTCAGGGGTTTCTGAGCTCCTCACCACAGCAATCCCAGTCTCCTACGCATGTCCTGTAATGCTCCCACTATGGTCCAGTGCTCCCAGTGCTGCATTTCCAGATCCCTGCATGTCTGATCCCTGCCATGGTACCACCAGTTCCCCCATGTACCCTCTGCCTGCAGGGGTACCTCAGCTTTCTTGTGTGTCCCTGTAATTCCCCAGCCCTCTTCCATGTTGCTTCCCTGCGCTTGTTGGATTGCCATTTAGGCAAGAAATAGCATGTGCTGAGACCAGTCCAGAGCTGGGTAGGTCGTGTTGGGATAGCTGCTGGTGTCAGGCTGGGTTTGCACCTCCTCTTGGTAGCCTCAAGGAGGAACCGAGAGGGTTGATGTCATCTACGTGGCCACCAGCCCTCAGAAACCTTGTGGGCACTTTCTGTCTCCAGGAGCTCTGTCTGTCAAGTTTTGTTGACTATTGTCAAAACCTGAGTTGTGGAGATGGGCTAGGAGACAGTACGACCATTATCATGTGAACTGATTTCCATGGAATGTGTCTATGCCAGTCGATAACGTCTCCTGGGTGGAATTGGACCTGCTGCTTGGGACCTCCCTCCCAGGTCTGCTCAGCACATGAGCGCTGGTGAACCCATGAAATGGAAAGGACCTGGGATTGTCTAGCAGGAAGGTCTGCCTTCGTGAAGTGCACTGCCTGGAGAGGGCAGCTTTGAAGTCCTGATTGGCACTGGCTTATTGCTATAAACATATAGAGAGAGCATTTTTGTGCTCAGAACATTGCTGGACACACAACAAAGGGGGAGGAAGTGGACAAATGGAGCACTGTGGGAAGAAGTTAAATGGAGCACCATGTGGGGAGCTCCAATCAAAGGATCACTATATAACTTCCTTTCTCTTTAGGGGTCATTATTCCTGCCTGGAAAAGTCAGGGTGGAAACTTAGCTCTGTACAACACAGGACCTCTGTGCTGAGTTGAGGCAATGGCATGTGCAGTGGACTAATGTGGTACATAATATGCATGAGCAAATGTCAGTGCTCTCCAAACAAATCCCTTCTGTGCTCCCAGTGAGCACAACATCCATTGACAAGGGGGACACACCACTTACCCAAAGAGGTTGTTTCTTGACCAGCACGTAGAGGCTGCTGTGATATCAGAATGATCAGAGCTTCCTCTTGGAGTCCTTCAGTTGCCCTTTTTTTGGAGACGTGCAGCTACACGCAGTGGCCTTGTTCCACCCCTGCTGTCCCAGTGGATGCAGATTGTGGCATGTGATGGGGAACGCCAGGGCATTCAGAGCCTGGGGAGGTGTCCAGAAGACTCTTTCTTCCCCTGCTCACTAGAGAGTTACCTGTGCTAGCATCTCTCCAATCTAGCTTTGCACTTTCTTCTCAGAGGGCTCGGTGAGGAGGTATTCAGAAGCTGTTAGTAACACCGCAGACTGATCCCCTCTGCCCCAGACTCTTGCTTTCACTGTTTGCATTTCAAGGTGCACACAATTGCGTGTGGTTTTGTTTGCTGTGGCTCAGCTTAGCAGTCAGCACTCTTAGAAAGCACATGAGCTGGTTTATTCCAGGATGTGGAACTGGTCCTCCTGCTCTTCGAGAAAGATAAGCTGGTGGCCAGCTTCATCTGCTCTATTTCTGCAGAACCAGGATTTGCTTGATTTGACTGCATAAAAACTGTCTTAAGGTGTAATTCATTGTAGTCTCTGCTTCCATCCCTCTGCATGGAGAGATATGAAAAGAGTTATGATTAAAATCCAAGCCCATATTTTCCTGGCTAAAAGTCTGTGCAGGAGTAAAAGGAAAATGGCAAAATCCCAACTAGGGGGGCATATTGATGGATGTCTGGAATGCTGGTTTCCTGCAATGAGGACAGTGTAGAGAAGCTAGAGAAGCTACTTTAGATCTTTACCAGGAGTGTTCTCATAGCTGATGTCACATTTCCTTGCTTTTTATTATTCATGTTACTCTATTTCCAAGCATGTTCCCTTTCGGAGGGTGCTGTTTTCTGCTCTCTTTCTTTGCTGGTAAGAGCTTCTGTCTCTCTCCCAAAAAAGTCAGCTAGGAAAGGCATTAGATCTTCACAGCTAGAGGTTCATTGCATCCTGTCAAGTCTTTGTGTGGGCTGGGCTGGACTTCAGTCCATGGCTCATGTCCACAGCTCAGTGATGGGAGGAGCAGTAGAGAATCCATGCACTGCAGCTGGCCACAGCAGAACTGGACCTACCAGTGTGAGCCAGAAACCTTTCACGGTGTCTCCTTCATACATCAGGCTTTAACTAGACCCCACATCTGTTTCCTGCATCTCGGCTCCACAGGCATCCTCTGAAGAGTGCTTGGGGTTGTTTTGACGCTTGAGTTTACCCAAGTGTTCAATGGCTTGAGATGAAAAACATAACAACGCTTGTGAGCACTTAACATCTATAGCAGCGTCTTTGCCAAACGTGGACCAGAAAAGCGTTCCTTTCCAGCTGTGCATCTGCTAAGGATGTGGGAGACCCCCCAGCCTTTCTCCCATAGGACACTTCAGTTTATGGTTCTTCCCTTTTTTCTGTTAGCACCCACACCATCCTTTCACTGATAACTGGGTTATGCTTCCCTAAAAGGACTACTTGTGGTAATATTCATCTTCTCTCCCATGCTGTGTTGCAGAGGAAAGGTTCTCACTGAGACAAGGGCAGAAAAATGATAGAGTACCTGGTTTTGCCTTCAGGGAACTTGACTAGTGATTTGCACAGGAGCAGATGTGCCTCCTGTCCAGCTACTCTTAAACACCTGATTCAAGTTCAGGTTTCAGCCCTTGGTATATGCAACTTGCAATGGAGGAGGAAGGATGGGAGAAATAAGCTTATCTTATTAATAAGCATGCTGCATGCAGTTTATATACACAGGGAAGGGGCATAGCTGTATTTGTGTAGGTGCCCGGGGCACTGGCGGAATAGAAACGAGTTGAATTTAATCCAGCACCTGCAAAAGACTCTTAAACTTCAGATGGATGCAAATAGCAATAAAAGTGAAAGAACACAGCCAGCAGCGATCACTGGAAAACAAATATTTGGAGCAAATCAAAGATCAGGTTTAATGGATCACTACTGCTTTGGTGTGCACTGTGTGTGTAATTTGGCCATAAGCCAGTGTGTGAGGGATCGAGTGTTTACTGGGTATAGTCCATTGCCAGCTATTCCACCCTTTGGAGCTGGCACAGCAGGTTACAAAGGTGGGGCTGGAAAAAGGGCTGAATGTTTCTCCCAGTCTGGTGCTTTTGGTCTCAGTCCAGCTCAGGGTGAGTTGGAGCAGCCCTCGTTCACTCTGTGCCCTCCAGCTATAAGGGCCTGTTCAAAACAGCATCAGGAGTCAGTAGGACTTGAAACTACCTTTGCATGTGACTGCTGATACGTCTTATGTTGCTAAATCCACAAAAACAATAGGGAACCGGATCCAGGGAAAGGGAGATCTGCCTGTGTTTGGTTTGGGAAATCACCGTAGGCTAGTGGCTCACAGTGAGCGGGTGCAGAGCCTTCCTCTGGACCTCACATGGCTGTTTCCCCAGGTGACCCCTGCTCTTACGTACTGTGCTGACTGCCACATGTAACTCTGCTCACCTCCACAGCTACTCTTTATTGCTGATAGAAGGCTGTTTTGCTTACTAAAAGCAAACACACGAGTGTTTAAGATAAAAACAATGAACTTGCTCAGTGTTGCTCTGCTTTCTTTGAATGTATGTCTCAAGACTCAGTGATATCAAGACAGCTGGGTGGAAAGCACAGGGGTGTACTTAGTAATGGCCTAGAAACGTAAGCACATCACAAAGTACGTCTGAACAAGTATGTCAGATGGAAACTTAGTGAAACAGAGACTAAGGGAAGTACTGTAACACTGGGGGAATGGTGAAGGAAGTGGAGCAAAACAGCTAGTGCCTCAGTATTCCCCAATATGGAGGGCTTTTCTGACTTAGGGTAAGAAAGGATGGTTTCATAATTGGGTTTTTACTCCCTCTGGACTATTTTAAGCAGATAGGTATAATCCAAATTTCATTTACCTAATGGGGGAAAAAAAAAGTAAATCCTTTCCACTCATTTAAAAGCAATTAGGTTTATGCATACCTTAAAATGTAAGCATGGCAGAAGACAACAGGACAGAAAAGTGGGGCTGTGGACGTGGACGAGAAGTAGCTGGGCAGTCATAGCAAATACTGTTTCCTTTACTTGCAAGTCTCAGTATGGGCCATTCATTCCCTTCCTAAGGTTTCTAAAAGCTATAAGCTGTTGGTACTGTCTGAGGTCTTAAGGGACATAAATACTCTGTTCAGCCTGTGTTTGCAGTTCATTGGAAATATAAGATTATCTCCAAAGGCTTAAACAGCCTGAATGCCATTCTGCCAGAGCTGGTACTTACTTTGCATGTTGCTATATTGATTGCTGTCATGAGGCTGACCTTCTCATGGGCTATTCTGGTTCATTTGTTTTCCTTGCTGCACCAGTGAGAGAAGTTAATTAAACAGACTCCACTGAGGAATATTTGCTTGGAGACTGATCTCCCTTCCTTTGCTCCAAACAAAGAGATATAGTCAAACCCATGTAGATTAGTTCCTATATTTATTGTCCTTTAAAATCCTTTTTCTATATTATCTATAAAGTTCATGCACTTTAAGAGCCTCAGTGCTATGTAACATTTACATGTGTTCTTTTTCACTGTCTTGGTCTTACTATTCTTAAAACAAAACCAAAATCATATACATAGATAGGTGGGTGTTGGCCTCTTTTCCTGTGCCAGGGGAGGTTTAGACTGGATATGGGAAAAAATTCCTTTGCTGAAAGGGTTGTCAGTCACCGGAACAGGCTGCCCAGGGAAGTGGTTGAGCCACCATGCCTGGAGGCATTTAAAAGACACATAGATGTGGCACTTAGGGACATGGTTTAGTGGTGGGCTTGGCAGTGTTAGGTTAACATTTGGACCCGATGAAATTAAAGGTCTTTTCCAACCTAAATGATTCTATATGTATGTAAGAGCCTCACGGATCTCACAAGACAGAGAAACAACCTTTAAGTCAACGCTTCAGCTGTTGGGCTGACATTATGTGACTGATGCTCCACTAAAACACACTGATAAATGTAACTGTGGACACCTCAGGGCTGTCAGGTGCTGAGTGAGTGCCGGAGGTGCTGACTGCCCTCTGTTCCCAGCAGTGCTCTCATAAGCTGGGCATAGTGTTGGGAGGGCCTGTGTGCAGGCAGGAGGTGGAAGCAGGAGGCCAGGCTCTCCCCTGCTTTCTAAACATCTGGATGAAGTAGATGTCACTCATGCAAAAGGCTCTAGATGCTCTGGGGTTGTCCTAGCAGAGGAGCTGCCCACTGGCCAGTGGCTGTGGCAGTGATGGCATGGCTGATAGGGGCAGTAGGTTTGTCTCCCCTGGTAAGAAAAGGGAGGGGATTTTCTATGAGAGATCCTGGGGTTTGCAGCTCATCTGGAACAGTTTATATTGTGCTAGGAGTACTGCAAAATCCTACTGTTCAAATTGGGGTTTGGGGAACAACTGCAGTGCTTTCCCAACGCAGGAGCTCCAACAAGGAGAGTCCCTCTTGGTGTCTGGCTGACTTCCTGTTAAAATGATTAATGCTGCTGGAATGTTAAGGCATTTTCCATAAGGTACTGTTGCAGGCAGGGTCTTGGGCAGGCATCTTTTATAGTTACTCAGTCTAAACAAACAAATTCCTGCTGTTTTTTAGTTAAGCTGAGGTCATCCAGCATCTCCCCCGTTGTATGGATATAAGAGTTTCAAAGAACATGGCTCTCTTCCTGCTGATAACCTCTTCAGAGGGAAATTGGGAACTTCAAGCAGTTACTAAATATTTGGGTTTCTTCAACAGTAAAAGTAGCAACATTTCTCAAGCTTGGGTGCGAACAACCTGTCTCCAAAATACAAGCACGTTTTTGTAGTGGGCTATTAATGGCTCCAAATTCACATGTGTCTTCCATTTGATTTTCAAAGGATGTGTGTGCATGGACCATGCAGGTAAGTTGCAATGAATCAGGTAGTAAAAGACTACTGCTGTAGATTCCTACATAGATGGGGCAGGGAGCTGGAGCTCTCAGTGGTTGTTCTGCATCCACAGAAGGCTGCATCTGAGTTAACCACCTGGGATCTCACTGCAGCCAGTACAGAAAACTGTTAGGGAGCAATTCCTCTCATGTTACTGAATTATAGAATCACAGAATGGTTGAGGTTGGAAAGGACCTTAAGATCATGCAGTTCCAATCCCCTCCCACGGGCAGGGACACATCACACTAGACCCATGTCATCCAAGGCTCTGTCCAACCTGGCCTTGAAGACTATCAGTGATGGGGCAGCCACAGCTTCTCTGGGCACGCTGTGCCAGCGCCTCAGCACCCTCACAGGGAAGAGCTTCTGCCTTAGATCTAACCTGGACTTGCCCTCTTTCAGTTTGAACCCATCACCCCTTGTCCTATTGCTACAGTCCCTGATGAAGAGTCCCTCTCCAGCATCCTTGTAGCCCCCTTCAGACACTGGAAGCTGCTCTGAGGTCTCCACACAGCTTCTCTTCTCCAGGCTGAACAGCCCCAGTGTTCTCAGCCTGTCTACACATGGGAGGTGCTCCAGCCGCTGATCATCCTCGAGGCCTCCTCTGGACTCTGGAATTCTTAGATGCTGAGTTGATAAATGGGCTGTGCTAGTGGAAACTTGAAATATCTCCCCATCGTACTATTTAGGATGGGTTGAGGTTCAGCCTAGCAGTTCCCCGGGCTAGAGATGAAAGGAGCCACCCTGCTCAAATGCAGCTGGCTGGTCACTTCTGTCCCACTGTCCTTTGATGGCTCAGGTTGGTGTCACGTGATCTCTCTCACAAAAGAGCCTTGTTGATTCACTTTTAGGAAAGAAATGAACCCAAGAAGATCAGGATTGTGTGCCAGCACACTGCTGCAGTGAAAGGTGTATCAGGAGTCTGGGAGTAACAGCAAAATTGCCTCAAAGCTTTTCCCCAAAGTTAGCCAATTGAGTGAATGAGTGCTTGTCAAAAATGAAAATGTTCATCCAAGACAACCCTCCTGCAGATGATGCTTTATATTCCTCTGTGTGGGGACATGCACTTTTCTTACTGTGTGTAAAGGATTCAGATGGAAGTTACATTTTCTGGTAATATATGAGGAGCCTGTTAATCTTGGCAGATAAGAACTCAATGCATTTCATCTACTGCATCTGTTCACATGGGTTTTTTTGTACAGAAGGTTTATTTTGTGTACGTAGTTTTTTTACCCTGTTTGCTCTGGTGAGAACCTCAGGGGTAAAATTCCATCACGTATATTCAATTGATAGCTACCTACAAAAGGAAAACCAGATGGCAGCCCAACACAAGTACCAGATGTAGATTTCTGCCTCTTTTGTATGGATTGGGACACCCAGAAACACAAATTTCTGTTGTTTGCAGTATATTACACATACTTTAAAATTCAGAACTTTTCTCTGATCCTTAACAGCATAATCCCATATTCCTGACAGCACACTGGCAAATGTGCGTACTGTGGGCAGTCATATTCCAAACCTGAGGTGGCCAGATAAACTGGAGCTACAAATACATTTCAGTTGTGTCCTGTGTTGCAAGCACTCGTTTTCCAATTGGGATAATGGGCTTTATCTTGTGGGAGAATGGGCAAATGTTGCTGGAATGAGGATTTCATAGGAGGAAGAGGATGTTTACGTGTTCCCCTGTGTTCTCTAATAGCTTTCAATCAAGAAATTGAAACATGTGACACTCCAACTACTTTCTTTCAAGTCCAGCTTATTGAGGTTTGTTTAATATCCTGCTAAAATTGGTCATTTCTAGCTCAGCTGGAACTTCAGATCTTTTGTTCTGAAAGCCCTTTCCTGAGCTGCTGTAGTTTTCTTGTTTAAACATTTCTGGAAGGCAAGTACCTGGTGCTCTCCTGCCACGGAGGTTTTCACTGCATCGAGACATCAACTTTTGCATTGAAAATCATATGCATTATAAATACCTCATAGGTCAGTGTTTAATCTTTTACTTCCACTGGAACATATGCTAGGGGGGGAACAGTAACACCATTACAAGTAAGGATACTGCTTTTCTAACTGCTTTTTAACGTCCTCCAGCCTGCAATTTTGAGTGCTTGTTTTCTGCCTGACTTCTGGACTTTGGGCACAAGAAAACAATTGCTGTGGAGTAAATCAGTATCAGCTACTTCCCAGTGACTCCTGATACATAAGACATATTACAGCTTTTTCACAGCATTCAGGAAAATGACTTTGCTAACATTTAGGTGTACACGAGCAATTTCTGGCCCTATCACTAACAGGAATATTCAGGACAGACTAAATTTTCAGTTTGAGGGTAGACTGCAAAAGGACAGCAGCAGTTTGAAGCTTGCGCTGTAAACCTTGACATCAGTGTTCTGGCTTTAGCTAATAAATTGTCCATGAAATGTAGAGATCCAAGGCCATGTGTTTTAAGTGGACTCCTGCAATGGATGTTTCTCATGGTGTAACTTTCTCTTGCTGACTATGTCCTTGGCCCCATTTCTCATAGAAATGGGAGTAAATCAGAAGTAATGGTTGTGAAGCCTATGAAAAAATAAAAAGCCAGGAGATAAGTATCAAAGCTTTGCCTTGATGCTGTCAATTTGGTTTGCCTTTTCCTTTATCTTGTTTACGAAGCTACTTCTGGAGAGAAATGTCCCCAAAGATGGAATTGTGTTAACAGTACCTCATCAAAATCAACCTGGTTTTATTTCACCAAGATCAGTGCAGCTGCAGCAAATGTGGATTTGGCTTTGTGTTGATCTGTTGTAAATAAACTTCATTCTGGAAAAGGTCTCCTCTCCTCATGGGGAGGCAACTTTAATCCACGTGCTCCTTCCACTGCCTCTTTGTCTCTGCAGTTCCCTGATGCCCACTTATTCCTTCCATGTGGGATCCCTGTGCAGGAAGAAGATGACAGTCAGTGTGCCGAACCATCAGGCAGATAGAGGAGATGATGCTCTATGAGCACTGTGGCAGTGAAACCCACGGTGTGCTGCCCATTCCAGGACAGGCTGAATTTGAACCTTTCGCTGGGGGTATTAAGTCGCAGCAGCTCTGCTGCTCTATGGAGCCAAAGCTGTAACAGTAGGAAAAGGAAGAATGAGAGGAGAACAAAGCCTGTTTTCCTCTGTCTTTAAGGAGTAAATGTAATCTCTGGATGGACTTTGAGGTCATCCAGAATTAAATGGGAAAAAAAATGTTAAATGAAATGAGCTGCAGATCAACGTTTACCCCTTCTTCCAAAAGAACAAGTGTTGTTTAGGACACTAACGTTACGTCTAGATGACCCACCACAGTGTCATGGTCCTTTCCCTGGCCCCGAGGCCAACCCACAACCTGTGCCAGTGATCGCTGTAGCTGATCAGCAGCATGGATGACTGGCTCCCGGTGACCATGCGGGCACTGCTGGAAATACTTTCACAGATGTTGTCTCAGGTGTGTTTTCAGCATAGTTCTACCAACGTGTACACAGACACACATCCCTGAAGTGAAAGCCGGCTGTTCTGCTGCTTTGAGGTTTGTTTCAGTTCCCACTATGCCTCTTCCTCATGAAGTCCTGTTTTAAAATAGGCTTCACTGCTACAGCACTTAGCAATTGAACTGTGAAGTCAGGCAGAAGAAGTCAGAGGCATTTCCCCAGCGTGTGATCTTACACAGGAAAACTACAAACAAATCAGGCTTTTTCTTAGTATGAACGAAAGAGGCAAGAAGAGCCTGAATCATAGAATCAGCTGGGTTGAAAAAGACCTTTAAATCATCAAGTCCACTGCCAAGGCCACCACTAACCCATGGCACTGAGGCCAAACTGATCTCCCCTCATGACTGCCCTTCATGGTTACCTCTCACACCCCATTGCCCCTGCTCTACCCTCAGGATCTCCTCTCATGGCCTCCCCTTTCTCTCTGAATCTGACACAAGTAACTTGATTTTTAAAGGCAGGTTTCTAACAAACACACACTTGTGATCTTCGAATTCAGGGTTCACTTCCAACAGTTGCTAAAACTCCACGGTGCCCACAGTCATCACTACTGTTGCTCAGGGAAAGCAAACATAGCCAGAACAGTGTTTTGAAGCATGTGTTCATATTATTTCTCATGCTGTAAACAAGATCAGGACCTATGGCTTACACAGATCACCTGATCTTGAGTAAATTACCACTCATAATTAGTGAGGGAACTTAAGGCTGGTGCCTAAGCTCATGGACCACACAGACTCAGACCTGATTAGGCTCTGACATACCCGTGAACAATGGGCAGTGTGTTACCTGCTGAACACATGCCAACTGATTTCCCACAGAAGCCAGTAAAACATTAAGGTTTTGAACAAACTTCAATATTCCTGTACTTTCCTAATGCTCTTTGGAGAATAATCTGGCTTTTTAATAGGGTACAGCATCTACAGCAATCACCAACCGTCACAGGGGCTGCCAGGCACTGCTCTCCATGTGCAGACGTGTCCCGAGCAGGGTTTGAGGGCAGATTGCTGACTGAAGTGATATCAAACCACCTCCACACATAAGCCAGGCAGATGGTTTTTTGGGTATGTGTCAAATCAGATTCCAGAGGTTGAGTGGAAACAAGGAATGTTTAGCCCGTGGCACTGGAGGCAATGAAGGGGTGGATGCAGATGAACTCACAACGCACCCATCCCAGACACCCTCCGCTGCAATTCCAGCCTCTGTCTCTTCCCATCCATCTCGTACCACTTCAGTACATTCCTCCACACTGGCACCATGAAGAGACAAGGCACAGGGGAAGGCCAGTGATGTTCAATGAACGTGCTGGCAGTGTCCAGGGAGGCTGGCGATGCACAAGGCATCAAGAGTGGGCCTGTCCTGCACCGCTCAGCCTGGCCTGCCAGCACACACTGGCCGAGACAGCAATCGCAGGGCTGTGGTTATGCTGCTCCTGCCTTGGGGATATCATAGGGATTAGATACATCATTCCCATCTCCACATGTCTCTCAGTCACCCACATGGGCAGCTTTTATGGGTTTAAAAGGCTGTAATGCTTTTATATATACGTAATAATCCCAAGCACAAACACAGGGTGGGCAGAGAACGGATTGGGAGCAGCCTTAAGGAGTGAGGCTTGGGGGTGTTGGTTGATGAGAAGCTCAACATGACCTGGCAGTGTGCGCTTGCAGCCCAGAAACCACCCGTGTATTGGGCTGCATCAACAGGAGCGTGGAGATGATCCTGCCCCTCTGCTCTGCTCTGCTCTGTGAGAGCTCACCTGCAGTCCTGTGTCCAGCTCTGGGGCAACAGCACAAGAGGGACATGGAGCTGCTGGAATAAGTCCAGAGGAAGCCATGGAGATGCTGCGAGGGCTGGAGCAGCGCTGCTCTGGAGCCAGGCTGAGAGAGCTGGGCTGGGTCAGCCTGGAGAAGAGAAGGCTCCTGAAGGAGAGACCTGAGAGCAGCTCCAGTGCCTGAAGGGGCTGCAGGAAACCTGGAGAGGGGCTTGGGACAAGGGCCTGTAGGGACAGGCCAAGGGGAATGGCTTTAACCTGCCAGAGGGGAGACTGAGATGAGCTCTAAGACAGAAGCTCTTCCCTGTGAGGGTGCTGAGGCGCTGGCACAGGGTGCCCAGAGAAGCTGTGGCTGCCCCATCCCTGGCAGTGTTCAAGGCCAGGTTGGACATAGAGAGGCCTGGGAGCAACCTGCTCTAGTGTGAGGTGTCCCTGCCCATGGCACTGGGCTTGAACTCTATGAGCTTTAAGGTCCCTTCCAACCCAAACCATTCTGGGATTCTACGCTATGGAATAATTAAATAACTAATTATACACACACATATACAAGGCTGTGTGTTTGTGTATAAGCATATACACACACACATACGCATACACGTATATATTGGCACACATGCACCATTGCACCTCCCCAGCAACCAGGGCCGCCCAAGCCACTCCCGCCTCCCCGGGGCCGCCTCCCGCTCGTCCCGCTCCTCCCGCCCCTCCCGCCGGGCGGGGCTGTGGCGGCGGCCGTGGTCTCGGAGCCGGAACTGGGTGACCTTGTGCGGCAGAGCGGGGCTGCTGGCGCCGCGGCCGGGGAGGCTGGGTGCGGAGACGGCCGAGATGGTGGAGGACGGCGGCGAGGAGGAGGCGGAGGGGGACAGCGGGGAGATGCCGGCGGCCAGCGCCGTGCCCCCCCTGCAGCGCT